CTTGGCCCCTCCTCTGTCCCTCCCCTGCACACCACCACCAAACCCTGTCATTCTTCTCCGGGCCAGCTCAGATGCCTCTGGCCTGCTCTGCTCATGGCAGCCTGGCATCAGCAGTAACAATTACCGCTTACTAATGCTCCGACATGCCAGGTGAATCACAGACTTCTTGCAACAGCCTGTAAGCCGGGTGCGGTAGGGCCTCTGTGTTCCCGGTGAGGAAGCTGGGTCAGGCTAAGAAACTTGCCCGTGGTCACCCTAATACCTGAAGCTGGGGTTCAGGCAGAACCTGGATTCTGAACCATACCATACAGCTTCTGGTCCTTTTTGGAACTCTGTTGTCCAGAAAGCAGGGAGTATGTGTGTGTAGACAGAGACAAAGTCTAAGGACTTTGGCTGTTGGGGTGTCCCAGATGCCAAGCAAAAAAGAACAAGGTCACATACAATGAAGACAGAAAACAGAGCTCCTTGGAGGTCACCAGTGATGCAAGGGTAGTTTTCATGGAGTTGGGGGTGGGCAGGAGAGAAGGGGAGATTGAACAAAACACCCACTTAGGGAGTTCTGCTGTAAAGAACAGCAGGGAGAGTGGTAGCTGGAAGGGGTGGAGGGTTGTGGGTGTTTTGTTTTGTTTTTTAAATGGGAATAACACAGCTTGTTCTTGGTGATGGAAAGGATCTGAGAGAGGGCGCGCAGTGAGGATGCGGGAGAAACATCTCTGAATGAGACTCATGGAGGGGTTGTCCCTGCACGGACAGAGCGCGGACGTTCACCCAGACACGGGCCGGATGGTGGATGACAGGTACAGAGAGCAAGGAAGAACCAGCAAGAGGCGCTTGTGGGATTTTTCCTCAAGGTTGGTCCCATTTTCTCAGAGAAACGGGACCTGAAGTCATGCACCTGAGTGAGAAGGTGGGGAGATGATGAAGGTCTTGAGGAGAGAGGAGAAGATGGGAGGAAAAACAGACCAGGGCAATAGGAGTTTCCACTGTGGGATGTGAAAATAAGATCAGTCAGCTAGGTTGTAGGATTTCCTTTTCTCTGGCTGTTCGTCTAGTGGGGAGGGTCAGGGTAAGGCAGGCTGGGGTTAGATATGCAAAGGAAGGATTATATTGATGGGTGTGAATTCTAAGCTGGGTAATGAGGGAAGTGAGACAATAAAGGGTCAAGCCTTTGGCAGTATCAATGGGGTCAAGGGAACTACGGATCAAATCCAGCTCCCTGGCCATTTTTTCTTTTATTGTGGTAAAATGTACATAGCATAAAGTTTGCTGTTGTCACCGTTTTGAAGTGTACAATTCCAGGGGCGCCTGGCTGGCTCAGTTGGTGGAATATGTGACTTTTGATCTTGGGGTCATGAGTTCAAGCCCCACATTGGGTGTCAAGCCTACTTAAAATAAATGAAAATGAAATACGTTTAAAAGTGTACAACTCAGTGGTATTAATTACATTCGCAGTGTTGTGCAACCATCACTGTTTCCAAAATTTTCCATCACCCCAAACAAACACAATATTCATTAAGCAATAACTTCCGTCCCCGCCACACGCACCTCCTCAGTAACCTCTGCTTTACTTTCTGTCTCGGCTGAATTTGCCTATCTTAGGTATTTCATGCCAGTGGAATCATACAATATGTGAACTTTTGTATTCCGGCTTCTTTTACTTACCATGTTTTCAAGGTTCATCTGTATTGTAGTATATATTAACACTCCATTCCTTTTTAAGGTTAAATCATATTCCATTGTATGGATAGACCACATTCTGTTCACCCACTCATCACTTGAGGGACAGTGGGTGCTTTGCATTTTTTAGCTGCTGTGAACACTGGCATACAATTACCTGTTGGAGTCCCTGTTTTCATTCTTTTGGGCGTATACTTAAGAGTGGAACTGCTGGGGCTTATGACAGCTTTTGTCAGGTTTTGTGTGGCCGCTGAGCTAAGAATGGTATGGTCCCTCAAGGTGTTGACATCCTAATCGGTAGAATCTGTAAGTTACCTTATGTGGCAAAAGGGGCATTGAAGATACAACTAAGGCAAGGATCTTGAGATGGGAAAATTATTCTGGATTATCTGGGTGGGCCAAAGATCATCATAAAAGAGGCAGAGTCGGAGGAGGAGATATGGTAATAGAAGCAGAGGTTGGAGTGAGCCACTAGAGTGGGGTCACAGTCAGGAAACATGGGGAGGGGCGCCTGGGTGACTCAGTCATTGGGCATCTGTGTTTGGCTCTGGTCATGATCCCGGGTCCTGGGATCAAGCCCTGCATTGGGCTCCCTTCTCGCGGCCTCTTCCACTCCCCGTTTGTGTTCCTTCTCTCGCTGTGTCTCTGTCAAATAAATACATAAAATCTTAAAAAAAAAAAAAAAAAAGCAGTCTCTAGAAGCTGGAAAAGGTAAGGAAAGGAGTCTCCCCTAGAGCTTTCAGAAGGAATGCAGCACTGCTGACAACAGGATTTTATTTTTAAAATTTATTTATTTATTTATTTTTAAAGATTTTATTCACTTATTTGTCAGGGAGAGAGAGAGAGCATAAGCAGGGGGAGTGGCAGGCAGAGAGAGAAGGAGTCTGACCACAGAGCAAGGAGCCCCAAGTGGGGCTCGATCCCAGGACCCCGGAATCATGACCAGAGCTCAAGGCAGCCACTTAACCTAAGCCACCCAGGCACCCCAGGATTTTTTTTTTTTTAATAAATGTTAAACTATATTTAAAAAAAAGATTTTATTATTTGTCAGAGAGAGAGAGAGAGCGAGCGAGCACAAGCAGGGGGAGCGGCAGGCAGAGGGAGAAGCAGGCTCCCTTGGAGCAGGACCTTGGAGCAGGACCCTGGGATCATGACCTGAGCAGAAGGCAGACACTTAGCCGACTGAGCCACCCAGGCGTCCCCGACAGCAGGCTTTTAGTTAAATATAACCCTTTGGACTTCTGACCTCCAGAGAATACATTTGTATTGGTTTAAGCCAGGAACTTGGTGTTAATGTGTTACAGTAGCAATGGGAAAGTATTACATGCCCTTTACAGAAAAAGTTTGCTGACCCTAATTTAGAGCAGGAAGGTGACTGAGAGAATCAGGGTTGGGGGCTCTAAGGGGTTTTGCAGGGGGCACAGTGGACCGAGTTTGGGAATCCTGGGAATGGGGACAGCCTGGAGTTTGAGGAAGTCTTGTGTCACTTGGGCAAAGAGGGCTAAGTCTTGGGAGGGAGTTGGAGTGGGGTGGTGGGTGGAGGCTGCTATGGTATTTCGGGCCTTGGGGGAGGGGCAGCTGAGACGGGCGCGGGGCCAGGGGGTAAGGGGGCATCGTTTAGGCACCTTTCGCATAAATGGGGAGACCAGTCTGAGTGACAGGGCCCTCAGGGGGAACCAGGGCCCTCAGGGGGAACCAGTTCCCTAAGAGAAGAGTAACTTCTCCTGGTTCTCATTCCTTCATTCCTTCATTCCTCCATTCAGGCATTATAGACCCGACTCAGTGTATACAGTTATGTGGCCCTGTATCCTATTTGCCCCCCAGAAGTCATCATTTCCTGAGCACATTTCCTGCCCCATACTGAGACTTCCCAGGGACTGGGATCTGTACTTAGAGAAATTGCCCAACATGTTGCTTTAAGGATCCGAGAACATGCATGCAAAAATCTGCAAGGTTGTCGCAATGTCTAGTAACAATGATAGTTCCTAAAGTAACAGTAACTCTTGCGATTAGTAGGAATATTTTAATTAGGAGGCGCGATTTGGGCGGAACCTTGAAGGCGGATGGGATTGGGAAAGGCGGTGGGCAGGAGGGAGGACATTCCAAGGCAGGCGTGGTCTTCCTGAGCCAGGGGCCAATCCTCCAGGAGCCAGGGGAGGGGACGTGGGAGGGAGGACGGAAGCTGGCCGCCACAGCGTCCCTCCCTCCTCGCCCCGGGCGGTCACCCGTAGTAGAGAGCGCACCCTGGCGGAGGAGCAGTCCCTCACTGGCTTAGGCATGAATGAGAAGCTTCGGCCCTCCGCCTCCTGCTGTCCAGCCTCCCCACGAAGGGGGAAAGTGGGAGGCTGGGTAATAGGGGGTACTAGGCAGCAGCCATCAGACCTCCGGGCCGTGCTGGCAGCCTGCCCCCGGGGCCAATGCCGTCCTGGCCAGCCTCCACCCTTCACTCCCCCAACGAGGCCCCCGTTTCCTAAGGCAGCCCCAGGATCTGAGGCGCCCGGCGCGCCCCCCTTTGCTTCCTCCTCCCCGGCTCCGGGATTCCCAGGCTCCGGAGTCTGGGCTGGGCGGCCAACTGGGCAGGCAGGGAGGGAGGGGGCTGGCTGGCTTCCGAAGTCGGCCCCAAGTTACATGTGGGAAGAGGTGGCTGTGACGCAAGTTTCCAGGGGGCCCTGGGCTCGGAGGGAGCGCGCCAGAGCGGCTCCTCTCCGTGCAGCTGCAACCGTGAAAAAGAAAAAGCCCCGAGCAGCACCCCAGGCTGCCTAAGCCGTCTTCGTCGGGCCCAGCTGCGCGGCCTCTGTCCCCGAGAGCCGCCGAGTACGGAGACCCTGCATCGGGCAGTCTCTGCCGGACCCCGGACGCACGGACTAGGCTCCCTCGCGGTCGCTGGCCTTTTTTTTTTTTTTTTTTTTTTTTTTTGCAACGCTTGCCAACCTGTCAGCTGATGGACCTCATCACCCATAGTGGCGCATGTAGCTCGGCCGCAGCTCGCTCCATTCACGCCGCGCCCCCCCAGCGGGCCCACGGCCCCCGGCTCCTGGTGCCAGGGGGGTAGGCCCGCAGACCCTGGCCGCAACCAGCCCCCGGGGGCCGGCGCCCCTCTCGCCCGGGCCTTGCGGCGCCCGGGGGGCGCTGCAAATAGTCCTTTGTTTACATGCAATTCCTTACTCCGCGGAAGGAGGCCGGGGGAGTGCTGAGTTTTCACCAGCTGTTTCCCGCCTTGAAACAGACATCTGATCAGCTGCAAACACACACACACATACACACGCCCGGGGAGGCAGGCCGGAGAGACCTCCCTCCCGCCCCTCCCGCCCGCCTCCCTCCCCTCGCCGCCGCCGCCGCCGCCAGCATCTGGGACCGGCCGTTTCTGCACCTCCGTCCGGCGCTGCCCTTTGATTCGGATTTCCATCTTGCATTCTCCGGCGGACCGCGGGACCCGGCTCGTGCAGAGGAGGGGGGCCGATCGCTATGGAGTATTTCATGGTGCCCACTCAGAAGGTGCCCTCTTTGCAACATTTCAGGAAAACAGAGAAAGAAGTGATAGGAGGGCTCTGTAGGTGTGTACTCCTCCTCTCCCCCACCCCCTTCCCATGATTGCAGCCCCCGGCCAGCCAGCCTGGGCTGGCGCGCGTGTGCGCACGCATGGCCCGCGCTGCCGACCCCGCTCGCCTTTCTTAGCCGCCCTGGGCGGCTATAGCCCCGCGCGCCGGGCTTGCGCTGCCGGGTGACCCTCCTCCCCCGGAACATGGGGGCCCCAAGCGGCCCGGGTCACTTTTGTCCACTGCAGGCGGGCGAGTCGCGACGTTTGTAAATTGCAAACAGACCCACGTGGTTCTGCAGCAGTCCCGGCCATGCTTGGTGCTGGTGGCTTTCCCCCCCGCGTTTCCTCCTCCCCCTCCTGCCGCGGCTTCCTTCCTCTCCCTCCTTCTTCGCTGTCTCCGGGTCCTCCCCTCCAAGGGGACTTGGGGGGCCCGGGCCACGCGTGGGGCCGCGGCGCGGGCGGCTACAATGCAGCCACGCCGCGTCTCTGGGCGCTGGGGGGGGGGGAATCGGGGAGCCGGGTGATGTGTTTGCAGCTAGCGGAGCTCTGGCGGGGTTGGGGGGGGGCGTGCTCGAGTGGGGGCGCGAGGATGGGTGGGACCCGAGAGGCCGGCACTACCAGCTGGGGGGCGCCGCGGACTCCGGCACGTTGGCGGCCGCTAGCTAGCTTGCCGCCCGCGCCCGGGCGCTGTTTACTAGCGAGGCCTGGACGTGACTCTGCAGCCCTCTTGGAGTAGGCGGACCTCGGCGCGCAGCCTCTCGGGAGCTGTAGTTCCCGGCTCCCCGCTGGAGTGGCATTGTGGGAATTGTAGGCGCCTCCCGACCACGCTTTCCTCGCACAAAGCTCGGCTCCTAAGGGCTGGACGGGCCAGGCAGGCCCGGTGGGAGTGCTTTCTGGCGAGGGGGCACCGGACGCCGCCCCTGGCCTCACGAGGCCGCTGCCTGCCGCACGCAGGTCTGGGCTGCAAACTTTCCCATCCCACGCCCCTCCCCCCAGCCATAAACCGAAAGCGTTCAATTTCGCAGCCGGGTGGGTGCGTGGGTGGGTGATCCTAGGTCCGAGGCCCTCCCCGGGAGCCACTTTCCAGGTCTGGCCCGGGTTGCTCCAGATCCACCCTTCACCAAGGGTGATGAGTGTGTGCACCACTCGCATCCCGTTGCCCTGGACACTTGCTAAAATGCACATGCCGCAACTTCAGTGGCCAGAAGGGCTTGGGCATCTGCATTGGACATGGCCCACGGGACATGGCAGTACAGCATCTGGGACTCTCCTGTATGCCCAAGTTTGGAACCCACAGCCCCTTTACAACCATGCTGCTTCTGGAGCGAAATGGCTCCCTAGGGCTGGGGCCACGTGCTCCACCGCCCCGGGGCAGGCTGGGCGGGGATTGAGGGAGGAGGAGCCCCGGGCGGTGTGGCCCAGACTGGTGGACACTGACACCAAGGGCTGCAGAAATCGCGTTTGGGGAAGGTTGCTGCGCAAGGATATACACACATCCCAGCTTGCCCCAGGGCTCCTCCTACCTTAACAGTTTTCAAGTTCAGGATGGAGGGCAGCCAGGGTGGTAGCCACTCTGGGGACTGGCCCTTCCAGAAGGTCTGCCCTGAGGACCTACCTGTAATAGGTAAATTAAAAAATTGTGGAGCTCTTAGTATGTTTTAGGGACTCGTTCTGCTAGATTTTTCTCACTGAATTTTCATACTGTTCTCAGTTAAACGGCCTTAAGATTCTCATATGGGATGAGGACAGGCCTGAGAAGGACAAGTGGAAGGGCTGGGGCTTGAATCCTGATCCCAGAGCCCTGCTCCTACCCCTAGTGGCTGGTTGCTCAGAGAACGGCTGGGTGGGGCTATTTGGGCCTGATCCTGGGTAGGCTTGGGGACCTCTGGCCGCCAGCCCTAGGACTTTGTTGAATCCTCTCTTGGCCTCTGAGGACTCTGGCTTCACTGTCCCTGTCCCAAGCCCTGCTTTACAGGAGTCCAGCAGTCTTTGGGGTCAGATGCCCCAGGCTCGGGCATGGGGACATGCTCAGCCTGCCTATCTGTGAGACAGTTGTAAGCCCGTGCAGTGGGTGTGGAGTTGGGCCCTCTGGGTTTGTTCATTTTCAGAAGCAGCTGTGGGGTGAGGTGGCATCAAGTGTGTAGACTGGGCGGGACATTTGGGCTATGTGGACTGGCTCCTGAGGCTGGCGGGCTTTGGCTTCGTTCCATCCCTCAGGGACTAGAAGGGCTTCCTCCCTCTCTCATCCCTCTCCCAGGCCCACTGGAGGGGACTGTACTGCACAGCAGGCACCGGTGTGGGTCCCGCACCCCGCATCACCCTCCTAGCCCCGCTCATGCCCAAGCTGGGTAGTTTTGGACTTGTGTGGTTGCACTGCTCTCCCCTTCTGTAAAATGGAGCACCTGTGAAGGTTGGCTGTGTGTCTGGGAAGCGCCTGGTGTCTGTTACACTAGCCCTCAAAATTTGTAAAGGCAGGAGGATTGTGGTCTTAAAGTGTTTACCTGCTGTGCTTGGTGGAGGGAAAAAGACCAGTTCCTGGGAGGAAGAGACAGGGCCTTTGGAGTGTGTGCTGAGTCCCTAATCCAGAATGTATATGGCACCTACTCTGTGCGGGCAACTGGAACTGACGCTGTCGTCACAGCTCAGAGTCTGGTGCTGAAGAGTCTTGTCAGCCACATAAGAGAGATCTTGGGATCTCCTGGAGTCCTAGGTACAAACTCTGGAAAAACAAGGCATCCTGTTTTCTTCAATCTCTTTTTTTCTTCTTCCATCTCTCTCTCCCTCCCTCCTTCTATCTTTTTTATAACCTAAGGATCATTTTTCTTTCCTTCCTTATTTATTTATTTTAAAAAGTATTCTCTGTGCCCAATGTAAGGCTTGAACTCATGACTTCCAAGATCAAAAGTCTCATGCTCTACTGACTCTGCCAGCCAGGTGCCCCGCCCCCCCACAATATCTTGTAAATTTCACCATGACCCTATGAAGTGAGGTAGTATTCCCCCATTTTACAGGCGGGTAAACAGGCTTTGGGAGATGAAGCGCCTTAGCATGGGGTTCCACAGCTAGCAAATGGCCGGGCTGGTTTGTATTTGGACACAGTGCAGGGAGCTCCCTCTGATCTGAGGGGCCAAGGAAGCCATAGGGAGGCGAGAGGTGTTCCTGATGGGAACAGCCTGGCCATGCTCTGTTCAGAGCCGAGGGTAGGGGTGGCAGGCTGGGCAGAGTGAAGTGTATGGATAAAAGCATTGGGACTGGGTGAAGGCCCTGAGCTGCTTCAGTACTTGGCCTTGGGGATCCTTGCTGATGGTCGCTTCTTCCCTCCTGTCTTCCTTTTGGGGTGTGGGAGAAATCCTATGTGGGCTTTCCCACTTCTCACTGTCAATGTTGAGTGGCAGGTGTGTGAGTGTCTTTGGGCCATGGAAAATGAGAGTTCTCCGTGGCTAATCTGAGGCTGGAACCAAATCTGGGGGTATAGGTGGATGGGGACTACTTGCCTTTGGACTGGGCAGGAGAACAGGTACAGGTCAGGATTCTGCCTTGAGTGTGGTCACTACTATAGAGCCTCTGATTGGTATGCTGGTGCTATTCCCAGGGGGCCGTCTGGGGCTACTCTGGTATTGGGGTGGCAGTCGGCACCCAGGGGTGGTACCCAAACTGTTTTTGGCCGTTGGCTGCCCTTCTGGAGACTGGCTGTCAGAGGGCAGTTCGGGAAGGAGAGAAGCAACAGACGCTGGGTGTCAGTGGACCAGGCTCCCTTCTCTGCTCATCTGCGAGTCTGAAGTTGGTGGGGAGGGGTCGGAGGCCCTTACCGTTCCTGTAAATCACGTTTATGTGCTCAAAACTCAGAAGTGTAAGAAACTTTGAGGTATTTGCAGAAAAGTCCCCTTTATCCCTATCTAGTAGAGTAGCTAGAACAGCCCTCTGTTGCAGGAATCTGCTTGGTCAGCATTCGGGAGCCCTGGTTGGTAGCACGCCCACCAGTCAGGACCCCTGGTTAGCCGTGATTCCACAGGTCAACAGCTGATTCGCCATGCTTTCGCCAATCAGAACCCCTGATGAGTCAACATTCCGCCAATCAGAACCCCTGGTTAGTCCACGTTGTATTAGAGAAACTCAGCTGAGTTTCTGAGTATTAGAGAAACTCGGAAACCTGTAACTTACAGGGCTGTTTAGGTGAGTTATCCATTAGGGTCTTGGCAGTCCGTCACGAGGAACTGCAGCTTTAGGGTGAAGTCTGTTTTCTGGGACTTAATTCTGCATGCATTAGGTTCCCCTGTAGCTGGTTTCTGAACCAGGAGGCTGGGTGGATATACTTGGTGGTGAAGGGAGCAGAACGGCTGGAATGTTCCGAAGAGCCAGGATGAGCGGGCCTCTGCCCCCTGCCTGGGTCCTTCACTCTCCGTTGGTGTCCCCAGTTCCTGGGCATCCTGGGGAGAAGGATGGAGCTGAGGGTCTCCCGGGGCAGAGATTTTAATGGGTGGCCGAGGTGGCTGGTTGGGGGAAGTGGGGCTGAACTCTGGTTTCTCTGTGGGTCCAGGGAAGTTGGTAGGACTTGGATAGGGGCGCGGGGGGGGGGGCAGTGGGGGCTGGGACGTGCAGGAGCCTCACTGCCTGCACCCTCCTCCTCCTGTCTTTCATGGTGGACTTGGGCAGGTCACTTCACCTCTGTGCGGTCCCACTCTTCGTCGGGAGGGTCAGGGACACTATCTACTGAGGCCATACACGGGGCTCTGGTAAGCGGCAGCTGCTTCGTGAGCCATCAGTGGAGGGTACCATCAGCAGGTGTAGGAGAGCTGGGCCTTGGCATCTGCAGGTGCCTGTTGAACCCTGGTCTGGCTGTCTGACCTTGGTGGCTTGGCCTCCTCTGGACATCTCACCCCACCTCTTTTTTTTTTTTTAAGTAAGCTCTATACCCGACATGGGCCTTGAACTCATGACTCCAAGATCAAGAGTCATAGGCTCTTCTGACTGAGCCAGCCAGGCTTCTTACCCCCCCTCTTCTTCTTCTCCCCCTCCACCTCTTCTGTAATCTACCCTCCCACCACAGAGGGTCTGGAGGGTACATCCAGACCAGGGAGCCGGGACTAGGTTCTACCCACCGCCCCCCCCGCCACCGCCAAGGGCAGGCAAGCCACTATGTATCAGGTCTCAGGGTGGCATCCTCTCTGCCACCCCATTGCCTCCACTGTAGGGGCAGGGAAACTGGGATGAGTGAGGTGCCTCTCGCCCAGAATTGGAGCCATATGACTGGTGGTCTGACTCTTAAGACTCTGGCCCTCATTCTGAGCCCTGAGTCTCATCTGTGAAGAAAGGGTTGTGGCCCCCTTTCGAGCATTGACACTCCAGGGCACCATGAGGAAACTGCATCCTGATGGAGGGGGTCCAGGGAGGACTTCGGGGTGCTGGTGGAGGAGAGGGCTTGTCTGTGGACCTCCAGCTGAGGCTGATGTGGACTGCCTCTCTGTCAGGAGAGAAGGCCAAGGCCCAGGAAGGGGCAAGGGTGAGTGCAGGGTCCTGCAGGCCTGGAATGGGACAGACGGGGTGGGCGGGGGGGTGGGGGCGGCGGCCAAGAAAGGTCTTGGCTGTCTCTAGCTGTCACACAAGTGTTCTCCTGGGTTTCTGAGCAAACTCCTTTCCACCTGGGGATGGGCATGGGTGCTTGGGCACCTCTTTGAGCCCCGGGTCCCCATCGATGGAATAAGGCTGCCCATATTCCTTTTTCCCACTTCTCTAGAACCAGGGGTGTGAGCTCTCTTGGCCCAGGCCTGGACCAGGTCACCCCAGGAGGGCCCCTCAGGAAGAAGCCAGGGCTGTGGCTTTGGGTGGGGCCGGTGGCCTCTTCTGGGAGCCCAGCATCTGGAAGCCATCAGGCCAGGGGCGGGGGAGTTGCAGGAGAGGGCCAGGAAAGGGGGAATGCCTCCTCTAGGCCACACACAGGCCCACCCCTCGGGAGCGGTGGCATTGGGCCCACAGGCTCTGCTGCTGTCTTTGCCTCCTGCCAATGCCTCTGGGCCCACAGCCTCTCCCCCTTCCACTGGCCGCCTTCTCTCTCACCCTGCCGGCTGCTGCCGCTGTAGGACGCAGTCACGTAATTTGCAGTAACATTGCCGACCGCATGCTGGGAGCTTGGCTTCGCTGGCACTGGGTGGGCCTGCCTCGGGGTGCGTGGACTTGGGGGGAAGTGTCTCCAGGGGTGCTTGATCTGATGCCCCCTCTTGGAGTGAGGGGTACCTGTCTCATTTTTGAAGTCTCAGCCCTGTCTGGGGCCAGGCTGAGGGAGGGATGTGCTCCCCAGTCCTCAAGCAGGCAGTGCTGAGGGAGGGTGGTCCAGGTGTGTAACAAGGAGCTCAGAAGTGTCGCAGGGACAGGTGTCTGCAGTTGCTCTTAGGGACCGTTGGTATCAGAATCACAGAGATTCTTGGTAGCCATTCAGGCTTCGGCGCCCCACCCACACATGCTGGCCTGGCACTGGGGCTGGGACCTGGGGGCTTCCCAGAGTGTACTATTCCGTCACCCTCCTGGTCTGCTGCGAGTGTAGGCAAATTCTGCACCGGGAGGGGATGATAGCTCTACTAGGGGCCCTCTGCAGAGGGATTGGAAAGACAGGGTCCTGCCAGGGCAGGGCATGGAGGGTACCTAGCCTGAGCCTGTTTCTGTCCTCCCCTGCAGCCTTGCCAACATTCCACTGACCCCTGAGACTCAGCGGGACCAGGAGCGGCGGATTCGGCGGGAGATCGCCAACAGCAACGAGCGGAGACGCATGCAGAGCATCAACGCGGGCTTCCAGTCCCTCAAGACCCTCATCCCCCACACAGATGGAGAGAAGCTCAGCAAGGTGGGCTAGGGCCTGGAAGCTTCCTGGAGGAAGTGGTGGGCTCCGGTGGGGAGAAGAAAGTGAGCCTTGGCAGAGGCTGCCTGCTAGGGTCCCTGACGCGTCCCTCCCACCCCCAGGCAGCCATTCTCCAGCAGACGGCAGAGTACATCTTCTCCCTGGAGCAGGAGAAGACCAGGCTCCTGCAGCAAAACACACAGCTCAAGCGCTTTATCCAGGTAGTGCCCCTCCCCCCACCCCTATGGAGGCCCCGCTGCTGCCTCAGTGCCCTGCTGTCCTCCTGGCTCCCTTTCCCTTGTTTGGCCTGTCCTGGCTCCACCGTGGCCTTGGACTTCGATGGGGTTAAGGGCTGCATCTTTCCCACCGACTTGCCTATTTCAGGCGTTTGCCTTCCTGGGCCTAAGTTTGCCCATCAGTCAAGTGCAGTGGGGTGGGCTCTGGAAAGCAAGTCCATTCTGCCTCCCTGCCTGGCCTTTGGCCATTTTTTGGCTTTGTAGAACGGGGCTCCTTAGTGCCGGTGCACCTGGGCCAGGCAGGCTTGGGGGCTGTGGGGGGTCCTCTGACTTAGCTGCTGTTGGTAGTATGGGGGCACACTCACTGGCCCCTTGGGGTCCCCAGGAGCTGAGCGGCTCATCCCCCAAGCGGCGGCGGGCTGAGGACAAGGACGAGGGCATCGGGTCGCCGGACATCTGGGAGGACGAGAAGGCGGAGGATTTGCGCCGGGAGATGATCGAGCTGAGGCAGCAGCTGGACAAGGAGCGCTCGGTGCGCATGATGCTGGAGGAGCAGGTGAGGCTCCTGGGTTGAACAGGTATTTGCAGGAGCACCTGCCTTGTTCCGGATCTACAAGTGAGGGACCCAGCGGGGACCAAAGCAGACAGCTCACTTTCCTCGGGGTCACTGTCTGTATGGGATGGAGGAACCTTAGTCAGAGGATCTCACACTGTAAAAACACAGCTGTGGGCCGTCTGGGGCGCTCAGGTCACGATGTCATGGTCCTGGGATCCAGCCCCATGTCGTGCTCCCTGCTCAGTGGGGAGTCTGCTTGTCCCTCTCCTTCTGTAACCCCCTGCCCCCCACTTGTCTGCGCAGGCATGCGCTCTTGCTCGCTCTCAAGTAAATGACTTCTTCTTTTTTTTTTTTTTAAAGATTTTATTTATTTATTTGGCAGACAGAGATCACAAGTAGGCAGAGAGGCAGGCAGAGAGAGAGGAAGGGAAGCAGGCTCCTTGCCGAGCAGAGAGCCCAACTCAGGGCTGAGATCATGACCCAAGCCCAAGGCAGAGGATTAATCCACTGAGCTACCCAGATGCCTCTCAAGTAAATGACTTCTTAACAAAAGAAAGTAAGATAAAAACACAGCTGTAATAAAAGCCACATGCCAGCGGTGGGCACCAGAGAGGCGGACTTGGGCTGGTTGCAGAGAGGCTGCTCCACGGCCTCTCCGTGGAAGTGACTTTTGCTGAGGTTGGGAGGTCAAGTCTGGAAGTCAACCATGCAGAGAGGGAAGAAGGGTGCTCCGCCCAGAATAGCCTGGGCAGGGACCTGGCGGTGGGAGGGGAGTGCGGGCGAGAGGGCGGCAGGAGAGGAGATGAGTCATGGCGAGTCCGGCAGGCTGAGCTGAGGACTTTGGTCTCTACCTTAAGGGTGGCCGAGCACCATACTAGGGCTTGGCGGAGGACAGAGCTTGGGGTGGCTGACCTGAACGGTCCCAGAGCCGGGCTGGTGGTGGGGGGAGGCGACAGGGTGTGGTCCAAGCCCTGCCCCTGAACCTATTGCCCTGCCCCCAGGTGCGCTCGCTGGAGGCCCACATGTATCCGGAAAAGCTCAAGGTGATTGCCCAGCAGGTGCAGCTGCAGCAGCAGCAGGAGCAGGTGCGGCTGCTGCACCAGGAGAAACTAGAGCGGGAGCAGCAGCACCTGCGGACCCAGGTGAGCGGGAGGCGTCCAGGAGGGGCTCTCACCTGAGTATCCGTGCCTCTGGGCTTCAGTGGGGTGACTCAGTGCCCTTCAGTGCTTAGGGCACTGAAGCCTTGTAGTGGCTCTTGGAGGCCTGAGCTCTTACTCTTCTGATATTACTGATGGCAGAGTTGAGGCACAGAAAAGTTACATTGTATGCCCACTCGGGATCCTCAGGGACTTGGCCGTCTAAACCCAGCATCTACGCTCCTGACAACCAGTGTGTTTTTCTTTAAGATTTATTTACTTTTATTTATTTATTTATTTATTTTTAAAGATTTTTATTTATTTATTTGACAGACAGAGATCACAAGTAGGCAGAGAGGCAGGCAGAGAGAGAGAAAGGAGGAAGCAGGCTCCCTGCTGAGCAGAGAGCCCGATGTGGGACTCGATCCCAGGACTCTGGGATCATGACTTGAGCCGAAGGCAGAGGCTTTAACCCACTGAGCCACCCAGGCACCCCGAGATTTATTTACTTTTAAAAAAATTTTTATTTACTGATTTTAGAGAGAGTGAGTGAAAGGGAGCACGAGTGGGGGGAGGGGCAGAGGGAGAGAGACTCTGAAGTGGACTCCCTGCTGAGCATGGACCCTGACGTGGGACTCGATCTCATGACCCTGAGATCATGACCGGACCTAAAATTAAGAGTCGGATGCTTAACCCACTGAGCTATCCAGGTGCCCCTCAGCCATGGGATTTATTAGATGTTGAAGTGCTTCCTTTGTGCTGGAGAGCGGGGTTGGAGGGGCAGGGGATCTCGGATGGCTGGAAGCGCCTCTCTCGACCTCCTTTCCCTCCTTTTTAAAATAAGAGGGGTGAAGCACAAACTGGCTGGCCCTCTGAGTGAAGGAGTTCAAGGGCTGGGGTGGCTGGCAGAGGCTCTCTCAAAGCAGATGGTTTTGAGGGCCGTCCTCTGTGAGCGACAGAAGGGAAGGGGCAGCTCCTGGAACCTTCGGAAAGAGACTGAGGGCCTCTGTCTTGCAGCTCCTGCCCCCTCCGGCCCCCACCCACCACCCCACAGTGATCGTGCCTGCGCCACCCCCTCCCTCCCACCACATCAACGTTGTCACCATGGGCCCTTCCTCGGTCATCAACTCTGTTTCTACGTCCCGGCAAAATCTGGACACCATCGTGCAGGTACCTGGGCTTGGGGACGGGTTCTCGTGTGGGAACAGGCCCTTTGTGTCCATCCCTGCTTCTCCCTTTCTGTGTCTGCGGTGGGAGGCGGCTCCCGAGAAGGTTTTGGGCAGAGAAGGAGGGGGTGGGCAGCATGCCCTGGAAGACCCCGTTCCTTCCCTCTGTGGGATTTGCTGAGAGGGCTCTTTGCTCCCTGAGAGCCCTGGTGTCAGGCTCCTGTATCCAGCTCTCGGGTTGGTTCAGAGCTTCCTCTGAGCTCCATCTCCCAGGACCCGGGGCGGGGTGCAGGTGGCAGCGGCTGGGTGGGAGACAGGGAAGCCTCGAGCGCAGGAGGAAGAAAGGAGATGATCGGCTCTGTGGGTCAGGCCCAAGGTTTCTGCTGTGCCCACCTTCGCGTGGTGCCCCTTGGGCAACCCAACAGCGTCACAAAGAAAGAAACAAACCAGAAAACCCCATCAACCCCTGCAACTGTAGTTGCACATAAACCCAGTAAATTGAATAATAAAGTTAATGACAGAGACCCTGCATAAGTGAACAGGCACTTTGAAATATATCCATGGGGGACGCTCGTGATTCTCTTGCGGAGTTTTTCAGCTTAGCAGAGGAGTTCCAAAGGTTGGGCGGGCCAGCCGCTGTCTTGCCAGGCTCACTTGTGGGCCTTTCTGGGCTGTGTGTGGGGGGTGGGAGGGGATGGTGGCTGTCCGAGTGTCCCCAGCAGCCCTCATCACAGCCTGCCCCACCCCCCCACCCCAGGCGATCCAGCACATCGAGGGCACCCAGGAAAGGCAGGAGCAGGAGGAGGAACAGCGGCGAGCGGTCATCGTGAAGCCAGCTCGCAGCTGCCCAGAGGCCCACGCCTCTGACACCGCCTCCGATTCAGAGGCCTCGGACAGCGATGCCATGGACCAGAGCCGGGAGGAGCCAGCAGGGAACGGGGGGCTTCCCTGACCACCCCCCAGCCCTCCTCTCCCTTCCTGGGGCTGGAGGGGGCCGGGGGGCAGCAACAGGGAGCGACGCAGGTGAACGAGTGAGGAATTTTTACAAAATTATGACGTCATTTGGGTCTCTTTTATGACCTCTTTTTCAATACTGTAAATCCACCTTTGAGCGAAGCCACCTGGCCTGAGGTCCCGGGGGGCTGGGGTGGCAGGAGCGCGTGGGAGCACCGGGACACCTGGGGCTGGGCCTCGCCCCGGAGGCTGGGGGAAGCTGACACAGCCTGGCCTCTCTCCGCCAAAAAGCATTTTTTCATTTCAACGTGTTTTTAAGAACAGGGAAAATCAAACAAAACCCCAAGGTATTCTGCCCTCCCCAGAGCCAGCCTGAGACCGTCAGTTTTTGACTCTTTCCCTCCTCTTTTTGTTTTTTTCCTTTCTCCTGTAAGCACTTACATGGGTTGGGGGTCTGGCTGGGTCGGGGCTCTCTGGGGGCCCGGGGGTCTACAGTGCTTCTCGGTTGGGGTTTGCTGCTGCCCTTCTCCCCTCCCCTCCCGGCCTCGGCTCAGCACGAGGATTTGCCACTCGCAATCACCACCCAGCCCCACCTCTCCCTCCGGATTTCCCATCTTCTACCCCAAAAATGTCTTTGTCTTTCTCTTTTTGTTTTGTTTGTTGTTGGTTCTTTTTGGTTTTGGTTTCGTTTATCTTTTTTGTTTCTTGTTTCTTGTTTTTTTTTTCTTTTGTTTTGTTTTGCTTTTTTGTTTTGAAATTTTTTTTTCTTACAATTTTGAGGTCTTTGTGTTCAAGGAGAAACTATTATATTTTGTTAAGAAAGTGGGGGGAAAAACCAAGAGGCCACCGTGCCTTTATAAAGAAACAAAATAAAGTTTGTACTTTGTTTTTTAGGTTCTGTGTCTCCTGGGTGTGTGTTGTCCTGAGGAGCTGGGGAAGGCTCCTGGAGTAGAGTATGGGTGCTCTTGGGGCCCCCCAGAGGGGACTGGGTGTGCCTGAGCGTGATGACTTCCCTCAGCTTGTGTTGCAATGAGCAGTCAGGGTTCCAGACTCCAGGGTTCCCAGGATTACTCCCTCAATCATGCAGAGATGGGAGATGGTGTTGGGGGTGGGAGGAGTGTCTCCCAACTCCTTGGTGGGAGGCAAGGAGAGAATGAACCACCAAGAAATAGGTTCCTATGTCTTAGAGAAAGGACACAGGATGTTCAGGGGTCCTGGTTGTCCCTGGGCTTTGCCACTTCCTCATCTTGTGTAACCTCCCTGAACCTCAGTCTCCCCAGCTACAGAAGGGAAGGGAGTGTTACCTCCTGGTGTGGTGTTAAAGAGAGCAGGTCTTGGAGTCTGTCTGCCAGCAGCCAGTTCCTTCTTGGGGGAGCCCGTTGATCTCTGAGCCTCAGTTTCATCATCATCTGAAGCTGGAAGTCAGCGGACAAGGGAAGTTTGCCTTATTGGGTAGGGTGGTGGATCTTAAAATCTCTTAATCCTCCGTGCCCAGAGAGAGCTTTACAGACTGCTCCCCTTGGGGTGCCTGGGTGGTATAGTCGGTTGAGCAGTTGAGTGTCTGACTCTGGGTTTTGCGTCAGTTAGTAATCTCAGGGTCATGAGATCGAGCCTTGCATTGGGCTCTATGCACAGTGTGGCATCTACTTAGGACTTTCTCCCTCTATCTGCCCCCCCGCCCCGCACATGTGCTCTCCTCTCTCTCTCTCAAATAGGTAAATAAATTAAAAACAAAAACAAAAAAACCCAGATCACAAAAAACACCAAAAAACCCCTCAAGTGTTCCCCTTTTCCTGCTTTTTGTCATGTGTGCATTGTGACAGGTACATGGGCACTGAGGCCAGAGAGGAATGACCACTTCACATCTCACCCCACAGTGAATGCCTCTAGACACCGGCTTGTTGAATAGAAAGGGAGGCAGGAGCCTGAACTTTTTTTTTTAGAACTTTTAATGTTTCTTTTTTTTTTTTTTTTAAAGATTTTATTTATGTATTAGAGAGAGAGAGAATGAGAGAGAGAGCATGAGAAGGGGAAGGGTCAGAGGGAGAAGCAGACTCCCCGCCGAGTAGGGAGCCCGATGTGGAACTTGATCCCAGGACTCCAGGATCATGACCTGAGCCAAAGGCAGTCGCCCAACCAACTGAGCCACTCAGGTGCCCCAAACCTTTAATGTTTTTAGGTGAAATTCACATAACTTAAAATTAAGTATTTTATTTTAAAGATTTTATCTATTTATTTGACAGAGATCACAAGTAGGCAGAGAGGCAGGCAGAGAGAGGGGGAAGCAGGCTCCCCGCTGAGCAGAGAGCCCGATGTGGGGCTCAATCCCAGGACCCTGAGATCATGACCTGAGCTGAAGGCAGAGGCTTTAACCCACTGAGCCACCCAGGTGCCCCAAATTAAGTATTTTATTTATTTATTTATTTATTTTAAAGATTTTATTTATTTATTTGACAGACAGAGATCACAAGTAGGCAGAGAAGCAGACAGAGAGAGAGGTGGAAGCAGGCTCCCTGCAGAGCACAGAGCCCGATGCGGGGCTCGATCCCAGGACACTAGGACCATGACCTGAGCCGAAGGCAGAGGCTTTAACCCACTGAGCCACCCAGGTGCCCCCCAAATTAAGTATTTTAAAAGATTTTTTTAAATTTATTTATTTGAGAGAGACACAGAGAGAGCATGAGTGAGGAGAAGGTCAGAGAGAGAAGCGGACTCCCCGCGGAGCTGGGAGCCTGACGCGGGACTCGATCCCGGGACTCCAGGATCATGACCTGAGCTGAAGGCAGTCGTCCAACCAACTGAGCCACCCAGGCGTCCCCAAATTAAGTATTTTAAAGTGAACAATTCACTTTATAGTGAATGAATATAGTATATTCATTGTTGGGTAACTGACACCTCTATCCATTTCCAAAACCTTTGGATCACTTCTAAATGAACTCCTTACCTCCTTCAGTCTCTCCTCATTCCTCCCTCCTCCCAGTCCTTGGCAACCACCAATCTGCTTTCTGTTGGAGTTTTTTGTTTTGTTTTGTTTTAATATTTTGTTTATTTGACAGAGAGCTAGAGAGAGAGCACAAGCAAGCAGAGTGGCAGGGAGAGGGGGAGACAGAGAAGCAGGCTCTCTGCCGAGCAGGGAGCCCGATGCGGGGCTCAATCCCAGGACCCTAGAATCATGACCCGAGCCGAAGGCAGCTGCTTAACCAACTGAGCCACCTGGGCACCCCTCTGTTGGAGTTTTTAAAGATGAAAGTGTTTTAGAGTTTTAAAAATGAAAGTGTAGCTTACTTTTGGTAAAAGTCACACTTTTTAGTTTTTGGTTCTATGAGTTTTAACAAATGTGTAGAGTTGTGTAACTATCACTACAGTCCTCAGTCCTCATCCTCATTGTTCCCACTGTCTCTTTGTAGTCCAGATGCTGGCAACCACACTGATCTGTTCTATAGTTTTGCCTTTTCCAAAATGTCATATTAATGGAATCATGCAATGTCTACCTCTTCACTTTAGCTAGCTTCTTTCACTTAGCGTTATAGCAAATTTTCCTTTTTTGGGTCTACACAGATGAATTTACTTAATCACATTAGAAGGCGTGTCTGAGGGGAGGGGCTTACCTAGCATCTGGGTGGGGACGCCCCTTCCCAAGGACCGAGCTACACTTTCAAAAGGGCCAGGTGCAAAGCGCTCCGGACAGGTTCCATGCAGCTCTTAAGAGCCTCAATAGAGGGCGCTGTGGGCCCAGGGCGCTAGGCCCGGCGTGGGCGGAGGCTCCGCCTCTTTCCGGTGCTCGCAGGACTGTTCAGTTCCTATAGGCCAGAAGAGGAACTTGGGGGCGGGGCCAGAAAGTCCCCCTCCTCCGACCCTCCCGCGCGCCTGGCGACAGTAGGCGGTCTCCCCAGCAGGCGGCGGAAGTCAAGGGCGCGCAGGCGGCCCCGCCCTTTCCCGGACACGACCCCCCCCCCCCAATCCCGCCCCTCGGTGCGCATGCTCCTTGGCGCCTCAGGCGGCCTTAAGCGCGCTCCCGCCAGCCTGCTCTCTTGGCCCCGCCCCTGTCCCCGCCCCCCGCGCTCTCTCACGCACGCCTCGCACGCAAACGCCGCAAACGTGCAGCTTCCGCATGTTCCCCGCGCGGAGGCGCTCGCCTACTTCCTCACGCGCCTGAGGGAGCAAAGGACTCGCCCAGGTGTCAGTGCAGTAGCCGGCGCGGTCCGGCGAGAGTCTTAGTGGAAGGAACAGAGACGCAGTGGAAGGAAGAGGTGACGTTAATTTTAATGACATGTTTAATTTTTAAGTCACAGCATCCACAGTGTCATCTCAGAACAGGTGACGAATGTAAGAAACTATGCAGGAAATACCTCATTTTTTTCTTCCTGCCGCGTTTGGGAAGCTTGTCTGCCTTGGCCGTGCCTATGTGGGGACAGCCACGAGTCCAGGATCAGCAGCCTCGCGCGGGGCAGCGACGGGGTCCAGGGTCAGCAGGAACGAGAGTGACAGTGACAGGGTCCAGGGTCAGCAGGAACGAGAGGGACAGTGACAGGGGTCCAGGGTCAGCAGCCACGAGGGGGACAGTGACAGGGGTCCAGGGTCAGGAGCCATGAGGGGGACAGTGACAGGGTGCAGGGTCAGCAGCCATGAGGGGGACAGTGACAGGGGTCCAGGGTCAGCAGCCATGAGGGGGAAGTGACAGGGGTCCGGGGTCAGCAGCCACGAGGGGGACAGTGACAGGGTGCAGGGTCAGCAGCCACGAGGGGGGCAGTGACGGGTCCAGGGACAGCAGCCACACTGGGGTGTGTGTGACGGGGTGCAGGGTCAGCAGCCACACTGGGGTGTGTGTGACAAGGTCCAGGGTCAGCAGCCACGAGAGGGACAGTGACAGGGGTCTAGGATTAGCAGCTACCTGTACAGTGGCCCCGGTCCAGATGGCCACGCCACCTGGGGGCCAGGCCCAGTGGCCTGGAAGGCCATGGTGTCCTGCAGGCTTTATGCAGGCTGGCCTGGGGGGAGGAATAAGTGGAGAAGATGTGGGAGTGGGATGGCATAGGACATCCAAGGCTGCTGAGAAGCTTGGACTTTATTTTTCCTGAAGGCTTGGGGGCCTAGGAGAGACAGGATCAAGGCAGTGTTCCACAAAACCTCTTTATTGAGGTATCACATCATATACGCTCAGAAGAGGAGCATAGCTTAAGGGTTTAGCTCCGTGAGTTTTCACAAACTCGGTATACACCTGTGTACCCAGCACCCCACCAGGGCTTCAAGTAGTTTATTTTTTTAAAACTTTAAAAATTTTTGTGGAAACAACTAGGTGTCTAGGGAGGTACTGTGCACCCTTTACCCAGCCTCCCCAGTGTTACCGTCTTGCATACCTCAGGTCCAGACCAGAACCAGATCATCGGGCCGGTGCAGCTCACCAGCCTTACTCAGTCACGTGTTACCAGTTTTATCTGCTTGCGTTTGGTATGTGTGTTGCTGGATCGTTTTACCCCAGCCGTGTCGGAGTTGCTCTGCATCTTCCCCGGCAGTCAGCATCGTCAGACTATGCCTGCGTCTCTTCAGCCTTTCTGGTGGGGGTGGAGTGAAATCTCACCATCATTTTCATTTCTGTCACCATGGACTAGTTTTGCCTATTTTAGATCGTCCTACAAATCGTATAGTATTTATACTCTTACTGTCTGTCTTTCTGCCCAA